AAAACAATGCCACAGAGTGACCTTTTTTTGGTGGTGACTTTTTTTTTTGGCCAGGCAGTGTATTTTCAGAAACTTTTCAAATTATGTATCACACGTGTAATTTGGGCTTACAGTTCCTCAGATATTTGCTTTTCTATTTGGGTATACTAAATAGGTGAGGATTATTTCAAAATTAGGTGGATGTGAAGAGGATTTATTACACTATCCTCCGAGGATGTAACAAAGAGGTGTCCTCTTTGTTGTAATGGCTTTGCTCAATTCTATGTTTATTTTTACTGTTTGACAAGAAATTCAAGAAACGCAACAAAAAATTCGAACTACAGGAAAAAAAATTGGTACCAGAAGTGACCAAATCTAAAGAGTTCAACCATGTCAAATGCTGCCAACAACAAAAATTGTGTAATGACCTCTGCTTCCTGTTGCCTCTGTGTCCTGCCCATTGTGGGACTCTGTTTCAGTGCTATACTATGTAGAGTTAACAGCAGGAACTGGGCTATAATCGTATGGTTGAGAAGAACTGATCCCAGATTATACTCTTATGTAGCAAAATAAAACTTATTTCAGAACTTCAACATTTAAGACAATTTTGTCTTCCGAGCTCTCCACCGTTTAGAGACTGCCCTTCGCAAGGTGTTCAGTGACATCCATATAAATGCAGACTGTGGAAGTAACACAATGGTGGTATTTATTGACCTTAGTGCAGCATGCGACACTGTTGATGACTCCATTTTATCACAGCACATGAAAAACTGGGTTTGCTTTTCTGATACAGCACTCAGTTGGTTTAAATCCTTCGCAAAGGACCAGGAATTGTTTTGTGTCAGGAGGTATCTGGATATTAAAGACCACAAAACTCTTATTTAATGTTCGCTAAGGGTCCATTTTAGGGGCTCTCCTATTCAATATCGACATGCTCACTGTAAATCAGATTATAAAAAAAAAAAAAAAAGTTACCATAACTATGCAGATGATAAAACTATACATGGACAATGCCACCAGGTAAATATGGACCCAGTCAATCACTGGGTAAATACATAGAATAAATCAATGCATGGATGTGACAAAATTTCCACCAGCTGAATTAATCTAAAATAAACTAAACTATAGTAGTTTTTGGAACAAAGGAAGAGTGTTTAAAACAGCCTCAGTAAGTACAACTAGAAACCATGTGTTAGGCTCAAAATCTGGGTAAAGTGACCCAGGCCTCGGTATACAGAGGCATAAAAAGACAGTAGCAAAGTCAGCCTTCTATTCCCAGAACATCTCCAGGATTAAATAACTAATGTCTCAACAGGATCTTAAAAGCCTAATTATATTTTGTAGAATTTATTGATACAACGGTGTCTTCACAGCTCAGCCTAAAAAGTTGAAGAAACAGCTGCAGTTGACCCAGAATGCTTCTGTCTATTTCCTCACCAACACCAAGGAAGTGGAATGCAATGTCCTAGTACATCAGTTGTTACCCTAGCTTCCCAAATCTCTGACAATAGACTTTAAAATACTTCTGTTAGTCTA